TCATAAGTGTTTATTTTCTTCTTATGGTGAATCAGAAACAAAGAGTTGTTCTTGAAAGTTTTGGATTTTGAGTTTTAGCATTTTCCTTCTGTGTTTTTGATTTTCTTAATACTTTGGGAAGTTTTGTATCGTTCCTCTCACCTTTTTTTTTATCTACAGATTGCTCATTTGATAGGTCTTGTTTGGCTTTTTGTGTAGAGTTTTCACTTTTCACTATAAAATTTGGTTTATACAAGCGTCTGAATCTGATGATCAATGTCACAATAAGTTTACAGAGCTTTTTCTAGGAAATTATTCCTTTTTACTAAAACAGACAGACTAATACAAATCTAAATGGGCCTTGGAATAACCTTATCGACTTTGTTAGTGAGTCGGCCTTGGCCTGACCATAACGACCGAGATCTCATCACGAAACTTGCACACCTTTGCTTGGTTAAGTTTTTTTTTTTTGGGCAAAATGCTTGGTAAAGTTTAAGCTCTCAATTTGATGAGATTAGGTCTCTAGCCCAAAGTGCTATATAATACATAAGACCCATGCATGTAGTAATATTTGCACTCACATACTCAAGTTTTGTTCCATATTCTTCATTGTGTTCTTCGGTGGCTGTTTGTATGAGAGGTTTCAGCAGCTCTTCATTGCTCTGTTTATCATCTATAGATGGTTTCCTGACTCCTGTCAAAGTTGACAACAGATAACACGTAGTCAAAACCATCCCTGTCCACATCAAAACCCTCCCTATCTTCAAATTGTTGTAAAAAACTCTTATTGTCTTCTACATTCAACATCGTTCGATTGGCGGCAGAAGACCAAACCTGGTGGCGGAGGATCGATCTCCTATAAATCTTGGGAATGGTTGGTATCGACATGACCAGCCATAGTCGAAACTCTAGACATCCCTTGGCCCAAAAGTGTTCATGTTATCCAGTTTAGCAGAAGAGCAGTTGAATTCATATGTGGCAAAGCAAAACCTTGTACATATAAGGACCGGTCGTCCCGATTAATAATAAAAATAATAAATTTATTATCATTTTAATTAATTTTCAAAATCTTATTGCAAGAAATGAGAGTGTTAAAATAGAAAATCCAACGCTACAAAACCTGATCCATGCTTTTGTGAGTTAAGCTAACCCAAAAACCATATAAATTTTAACAATTATTAACATACCGTTCTCATACATTATCTTTATAAATGCGTATTTTATAGATACATACATGGGTATTTTCTAAATATAAGTAAAAATGCGAGAAACTCTAATGGAAAAAGTTAACAAAAATGTGGAAATTGCCTATAATGGCTTTGAACAAAAAAAAAAAACCTATAATGGCTTTTAATTTCCTCAATTTAGCAAAATTTATTCTACATAGATTTTTTCCACTTTTCAATCGCTAAATTCCAAAATTAGACTCAATTGTGTTGTGTGAATGATTGCCACGTTAACCATACTATAAAATTCCCGTTTTTGTCTTATGTATGTAAGAAAATCCAGTCTTTCATTAGGTAAGGAATAAGTTCAAAAACTCGTAATTGAATATGATGAACGGATTCAGACAATTTTAATTTATTTCAAAAAGTTTGTTTTTACGAGAAAAAGAAGAAGAAAGTGACAGTTCAAATCTCTGGCGATCAATGATTACATGCACTGAAAACCATAAAGATAACGCTCACTTTTACCACCCCATACTTATTAGACAGTTAAGATAATCACAAGTTCATTAAGGATCCTAATTACACCTTTTGTTCTTTTTTAAATCAGAGTAACAACTTCTTTGATAAACAACTTATATTATTCAAACGAGAGATCACATAAAAAAAATTAATTACTGAGATACTAGAATTTTAGTCAAGTTGTAGCGAATCAAATTTTTTGATATTTTCTTTGTTTTAAAATTATTCTCCATTATTACATCATCCAAATAAATACTCTATCTGTTTCATTTTATTAGATGTTTTATGGATTTTATTTTGTTTTACAAGTTTTAAAGTAAATTTAAATGCATTTGACAATTTTTGACTATTTGTATTTTACAGTCCTTATTATTATTGGTTGAATTTTCTTTTAACTAAATATAATTGATGTTTTTAAAAGAAAAATAAATGAAAAAATATGTGTGCATTTACCTTAAACCTCTTATATTTTGTAACAGCGAGAGTATCAATTACACACAACAAGATACCTGACCCTCTTTTGCGCAAATACATAAAATTATTTAGTAACTTTTTCAAAAAAAAATTAAAGAGAAAATAATGATTCAAATAATTTTTATTAATGAAATTCTATATATGATTAAATAGAAATGATTGATTTTAACATTATTATAGTAAAAAATATGGTCATAAAGTAACTATAAATATTTAATTTAAAATTCAATTAATTAATATCTTAATATTATGCTTAAAACATAAGTGTGGAAAATTATAATGAAATATGTATGTATCTGTTTTTTTTCCAAAATCTTATAAGGTACATACATATTTTGGAGAAAAAAAAAGATACATACAGATTTCATTGAATTTAAATGTTACATACAGATTTTCAATAAAATTATAAGTTTGGTAAATTTGATAAATAGCATGAAAATTTCAATTCGATTTTCAGAAGTTCTCTTCTTTGGAAAACTAAAATAAAATATTTAATTTCTTTCACCAAAATAAAAATATATATTTTTAAATTAGTATTTAAAGTAACGTATGATTCTATGTATTTTATTATTATAAATAGATTGTTATGATAGTATGACAAGTGTCAAATAACTCAAAGTTTAAAATTTTAAACTAAATGTGGATGAGTTTCTTAGAATTATAGTACATGATACAATTATCATTTGTTAGATACTTAGTAATGAAATATTTAGTATATGATCAAACCCACGAATTTAAAATTTAAAACAATGTAACACGTCGTCACTACCATTAAGTCTGTTAAATTATGATTATTTATATATCAATCGAAGTTCTCAATACGAGGAGTCCAAATCTATAATAATAATTTGGATATTTTAAGGTACGTGACTATATAGAATCTCTTAGAAGACCCATACAAATGTTATCTTGCTATTTCGATTTTGTCTAACGTACATTTTTACAAATTAAGGGTAAACTTACAAAAAATTTTAAAATGTTCTCATCACTAAATATGAAATTTTGGTGCATCCATTTTAAATTTATAAATTACTTTTTAGAAGTACTTCAGAGACAGATATAAAATTTGGAATAAAGTAATAAAAAGTTAAATGTTTTTTCGAATCCATTTGCTGGCGTTTCCAATGAAAAATATATGAATAGGGTTAAAAAATATACAATATTAATATATACAATATATTTTCTTTAAATGTTTTTGTAAAGAAACCGTTCATATACAAGTTGTATAATACAACTGCTATTCTGATTAACTAAACTGTTCAATATTCTTTTTTGTTTTTAAGTACTGTTCCATAAATGATTCGAACGTTGAGAACTAAATACGAGAAAGACAAATCAGGGTGTGGTGGCATAATACGAAAATCTTAATCAATTAGGTTCATTTTTGTTTTTCACAAAAACCAAATTTTCGTATCTATTTATATGTGTAAGAAGTTCTTCACAACTCTCATGAATTTTTTCACTTGAACGTTAATTTTTCAAAAAAGAAAAAAAATTCTTGAACGTTAATATATACAGTCAAGTATTACTATTAATCTTACTTTTTTCGCTGAATATGGATATTGGATAGTGTATGTAATAATACTATGTAAGTAACAACAAAAGCTTTATGAAAAAAAAAAAAATTGTGCTGATGTGCATTTTGCAAGCCTACTTCAATTTGTTTATTAGCTTTCTAAAATAAGTTAAATAACAAATCGTCCATTACACAAGAATAGTGTCTATAGATTGCTATTAGACGAATGCTCTGGCACTACAAATCATCTTAACGAAAAAGTTCAAATTACACTTATTCAACACACGAATATTAAGATTACACATATTAGTTTGTTAAGTAAGAACTTACATGAATTTACACTTCAAAACTGAATAATATACATCAAAACTACATTTACTCACGAGTAGATCATTAAACTACATGATTTATTCTTTATAGTGACCCGTTCAACATGTTTTTTTAACTATGTTCATATGTATTATCAAATTTTGATTTTTTAAAAAAATCCTTAAAAACCTTTATATATTTTTTAAAATTGCATCTCGTAAAGCTTGGTGACATATGTTTTATTATAAAAAAAAATCATCAATTTTGTTTTAAAAGATTCATTAAAAAAATGATTTCAGGTATTGGTACTTGTTGAATTCAAAATCGTTAAACAATATACAGTTATTGCCCATTGGTGGAAAAATCATGATGTTATATGGAAATATATGAATTCAGTTTAATCTAAGGTATAGTGCAAAATTTTTGAAATTCACACAAATAAATTCTTAAAAGTAATATCAAATTTCAAATCTTAAAGATTATAAAACTTGTAAAAATTAATTTAGAATAACACCCCATTAACTAAGTTGAATGGAAATATAATAATTCATGTAGTTTGACGGAAAAATAGCGAGCTTATCACGTTTTAGAGAAGATTAGTACATTCCTATAATTATTTACTATATAGTGAATTACTTATTTACCTTTTTAAAGCAATATACATTAGATAAAGTTGAATTCTCAGAGAATGATAATATCACATAAAACCAATAGACTAATTAACTTAGTTATTTACTTATTTAAAAGATATTTTTAAATTAAAATAGAGAAAACGCGTAAGAATTTATGACCACTAGTTTAATTACTATCAACAATGAAACTTTGGTCTTACAAACAATTCTTTAATGTTATATTTAAGAAGAAAAGAAATTTCCTAAGAACTTCATGAAAAGGGAAAGAAAAGAAGAAAAAAGTAGCTAAATATTCTTTTTGATTTTGATGTCTTAGTAACGGCCTTGTCTTATGATTGTATTTTGGGTTTTTGCTGTGAGCTCACTTAACTCTTTATATATATCCCTCTTCTCCTATTTCTCTTTCTTTCATTCACCATCTTTTCTTTCTTTCTCTCTCTTTCTTTATATAAGACATTCATAAAATCACAATAAACACACCAAAAAAGGGTAAATGAGCATTCAATTCAATATGACTAATGCTCAAGAGTTGGGGCAAGAGGGTTTTATGTGGGGCATATCCAATTCTGATGATTCCGGAGGTGGTTGCAGAGGAATCGAGAAACAATCGCCTCCATCGCAACCTTCTCATCCGTCGCCAAAGATCCAGACTGCGACGGTGAAAAAGGGGAAAAAAAGGACGAAAAGAAATGATAAAAACCATGAAGAAGAATCACCTGATCATGAAATACATATATGGACCGAAAGAGAAAGGAGAAAAAAAATGAGGGACATGTTTTCTAAATTACATGCTTTGCTTCCTCAACTTCCCCCTAAGGTATTGATTTAATAATAAGAATGTATGATTTAATTGAAAGATTTCTTTCCTAGTCGGCATGAAATTCATATATTCATTATCATCGTTTTTAATTGGTAATTCATATGCGAAATATCAAAGTTGTGTTTTATAAAACGATTATTTGTATGAATTACCAATCCTATAATATTACAGATATGCATATACATATAACTAAAAAACACAATTTCATGCGGACATAATATTTGATTTCAAAATATGTTTTAGTCTTATCCAACTGCAAAAAAAATGAATTTTGTTTCATCTTGTGAAACGAATATTTATAAAACTCATTAATTTTATTTTCTACTTCTATTTTTTATACCGTGTCATTCCGTTTATTACCAATCGGAAAAAACAGATGATATTATTACATTTTAGGTTATGTTAACATAAGATTCTCTCATGTTTCTTTCTCTTACGGATTGCCATGTTTTAAGATTTCAATTTATTCAAATGCTTACGCTTGTTCCTTTTCAGGTTCTGTTTCACATCTTTTCGCTTTAATATAAACAATTATATATAATCTAGCTATGTCAATTAAATTTGGTGTGATTTGGCAAAGCCGCCAGGCTTTCGATTTCTCTCTCTCTCTTTTTTTTTTGCCTTGCTCGTCTTTGTCCCAATGTTTTTCGTTTCATAATTTTTCTTCTGGATGTTATGTATAATTTGATATTTTTCTTACAAATATTATAGATCTTAACTAATATCTCTAAATTTTTCTTTTTAAACCGAGTCTTATTTGAATCCACCGATTACACATGGTGAAAAGGCTCCGGTTTTAAAGCACTATAAAAGTACATATAATAAATAATAAATGACAATTAACTAATATGTACATTTATGTGTCGGATTTCTTACGTTATATAGAATCATATTTTCTAATATTTTATTTGATCCACAGGCAGACAAATCAACGATAGTAGATGAAGCAGTGAGTTCCATCAAATCCCTTGAACAAACTTTGCAAAAACTCCAAATGCAAAAGCTCGAGAGGCTTCAGTATTCTTCTGCCTCAACAAACACAACTCCTACTACAACTTTGGCTTATGATCCATCTTCATCTTCTTCTCCAACAACTCTCCTCACACCAATCTCAAACCATCCCATAGGCGCCACCGCAGCAGATTCTTACCCTCGCGCAGCTTTCCTGCCTTACCCTTGTAATGATCCGATCGTGACTTTCGATACTTGGTCCTCACGTAACGTCGTGCTGAATATCTGTGGAAATGAAGCATTCTTCAATTTGTGTGTCCCTAAACACAAATCAGGGGTTTTCACTTCTGTTTGTTACTTGTTTGAGAAGTATAACATGGAGGTTTTGTTTGCTAATGTCTCCTCTAATGTTTTCCGGAGCACCTACGTGATCCAAGCACAGGTAACTTATACATTATAACATTTTTATCATATGATATATAGTGATATTTATTATTTATCATGGTCCTTTTTCCTGCTTCTATGCGATGAAACAGGTAAATCCGAGTTACGAGAGTCAGTTATTGGGAAATGGGTTTGGAGTAGGGGACATTTTCAAGCAAGTTGCTCAAGAACTGGTGTTATACCTTTCATCTCCATAAATCGTATCTGGTTGCTTCCGTTTGAATTTTCAGTATTTTCAGGTTTTTTTTTCTGCAAAGTCCCATCTCTTTGCTTATGCAGAAGATTAGCTTGGACTTTTCACTTTAAACCCCATTATCAAAAAAGAAAAAAAAAAAAAAAAAAAAAAGGAATAAGAGAAGAAATAGCTTCTTCGAACCTTGTTGTCTAGTGATTTCTTTTTCGCAATTTTAATTTTCTTCTCTTTATCAATGTATTGGCAAATATTATCCAATGAGACATTTAAGCCATTAAAGTGCACCATCCTGTTTTGAAGATTAAGATGTTTTTCTTTTCTTTTCTATAAGGTCTAGGCATTTATATTTTACACAAACGAATATACCTACTATATATACCTATTTAATTTTCTAGCGTCTCTTTGTTTTATATGGCACCATTTCTCATTTTTGGGAGTGAAAAATTGTCATCACACCTTATTTTTTTTATTATACATGAATAAATTTTCAATTAACTGAAACATGATTTCGACTTCAATATATTGACGAGAAGATCAGATATATTATATGATAATATGAACATAATTCAAAACAAAAAAATTCATAGGCCTTTCTACTATATACTCTGAAACTTTGTGTTATGATATTATCCATCCAAATTTTGTTTTATCTAATGTTATTTTGTGGCAGATATAAAATATCGATTTTGATTGTAAAATTTGCCATCACAGGAGCAAGAGTGGATATTTTTCATTTTTATCATGTTTATGTACATTTATGTTTTGTTTTTTTTTTACTACTAGACAGCATTTTAGGAGAAAATACAAATCAGAATTTTAAGTGGTCAAAGTAGAGTTTATTGTTGGTCCTACATGAGATTCGATTAGTAATGGACCAATAAAAACCATCAATTTGGAGGCACATAAGAGCATTTTCATCAATGGTATTTCAATGGTATTTGACGGTTAAAAAAAAAAGAGAAAAAAAGAGAGAGGTCATCAATTCTCATTTGATAAACTCAAAGAGAATCTTGAGACACTTGTCTCTTTTTAATGATTCAATTTTTATTTTAAATTAAATTCTAATTATATAACTAAGTTATATTAAAGATATTAGTATTTTATTAGTGAGTACTATTTCAAATTTCTCAACCGGTGGAGATGTTCTAAAGATCTCGCAATTGAAGTTTTAGAAAACTTTACATAATATATAAAACATTGAGTGATATACTTGTTGCCAATTAATTTTGAGTTTGAAAAATTTATCATAGTGTTAGACACAAATTTAAACACCTAAGCAAATGAAGATTTAACTAAAATGATAATGGGCTTCATATTGGATCATCTAGTCCAATTTCTTTCTTTTCAGTTTTCATACTCATCATCGGTTTTAGGCTTTTACTTTTAGCCATGATATTTTTATCATATAATTTTGTTCATATAACACAATTAAGAAAGCATTTTAAATATTTTATACTCATCAAACTTGATGAGGATATATGACTGAATATTGTTTTCTTTTGGTTAAGTTTTTAAACCACTAGAAGACGATGAATTTCAGCAAGAAACGTCCAATCCAATGGCGACGTGAAGAAAAAGGATGTTTTTGCTCCGGGCTATTAAGTTATAACCAATAGAAGGGTAAACGACCTGTGTCCCCATAGTACGTTTCATATAGTATCACAACTACACAGAATTCGGACCTCGACCGCAGTCCACACAGATCAAAAGTTAAACTCATGTGTCCCCCCAAATCAAAAGTTCGAGACCTTGGTCCCCAAATTTTTGAATTTCGTGGTTTATCTGTGGTTTACTGTACCGAAACCAACATTAACCGCGTAACAACGAAAATAAACCGGATTTACCCATAAACCAACCCGATAATCAAAAACCCCCAAATCAATCCCCAATTCTCAAAACGAACAACGTTCCCACGCCGAATTTCTCTCCAATCTCTGTAAACAAACATATCCCGATTCACTCGCATTGAAACTCGTTCAATCTCTGAATTCATCTTCCAATCTCGAGCTTCGTGCTATGTCCGCTGTTTTGCTACGGAAACAACTCACTCGTACTGGAGATGACGATGATTCCGCTTTTATCTACCCTCGAATTGCTGAATCTACTCGTTTGACTCTTAAATCTGTTATCACGTCTTTGCAACAGGAGAGTACTAAATCTATAGCCAAGAAGGTTTGTGATACTATCTCTGAACTCGCTTCTGCGATCTTACCGGAGAATGGATCTGCTGATGTAGAATTAAGGCTTTGTACATGTGCTGCCATTGATTTTATCAAAGCTCTAGTCAGCGCAGATAACTGGAGAGTAAAGGAAGGAGAAGATGATCTGGGGAGAAGATAATGGAGAGATGGAGAGAGATGTGGGGAATAATCAAGGGGTGAAGTTAATGTTGAAGGAGATGGAGTTAACGCCATTGTTGTTGGTTTGGTGGTGGTGGAAGGAAGAAGCTGAAAATCAATGGATTAATCGACAATGTCTCGTTAATTGCCTCAAATATTATATTACCTCTTATCCCTTTGCAGCTCCTTTTGACCCAATTGAGTTTTCACAAAAGACAAAAAAAAGCAGATGGGAGGTTTGACGAGATAGCCTTATTTCGTTAAAGAAGATGACGATGGATTAGAGCAATGGACTAGATGGATCTCTAGAGATATAAATCGAGAATCATTGAAATATTTGCTCTTCGTCCGATTAAGATCAAATAGAAATTGTATCAAGCAATCTACACTGTTTGATTTCTAATTTTATTTTTTCGACTGATTCGGATCGGATTTTGATTTTCCTCGATTTTGTTTCAGATCTCAATTTTTAGAATGATTTCGAATCCATGTCTGTTATTATACTCCTGCATTGCGAAACGAACAGTGATTTTGAAGCTTTGCTCTGTGTCGGATTTTGATTTTGCTCATGTCGTCTTTGATTGCTTGAAGAAACCATGAAAGGTCTGAAGCTTTGGTCTGTGGATCGGTTTTACATCAGTCTGGGTAAATCCGGTTTAATCTCGATGTTAAGCGGTTAATGGTGTTTCTGGCACAGTAAACCAACGATAAACCACAAAATTTGAATTTATGGAGACTGAGGTCTCGAACTTTCAATTTAGGGGGAAACTGGAGTTTAACTTTAGTTTTGTGTGGACTGGAGACGAGACCCGAAATCTATGTTGTTATGGTACTATATGAAACTTCGTGGGGGGACACAGGTCGTTCACCCATAGAACAAAGACAAACTCAACACATACATGAATGGGCTTGGGCTTCGCAACAAACTTTCAAACCCAGGATCAAACTGAGAATCATAATAAATCAACATCTCTGTATTGAAAATCATAATGAAAGCAACCAATAATGTTAAAATAAAAAATGGAATGAAATTTAAACCAACCAAAACAAAAATAAGCTACCTAACCACTTGCATACATACCTTAAGTGTGCATCAATGAAAAAATAAAACCATATGCATACAACCTACCAGCTGATGTGTAGTAGATTTACAATTTCAACGGCTTCAAAAACTAAGAAAAGAAAACAATGATTACAGAGAAACTTATTACATCTACCTTCAGAAAAAAAATAGAACTAAACATACTCACAAACAAAAATAACAAATTGATTACTTAGAAATTAGAATTAACCATTAGAATAGGACCGCAATTTATAGTTCTATTTTTCTATGCAACTTTGTCGGTTTCTGACTAACTTTCCCTAAAATATTTTGATGTCAATTAAAAAAAAAAACCTATTAAAGTAACTAAGAAGTAAGAACCCTAATTTGAATCTCACTTTGAAGAAATTTAGGCAAATTTTAGAACTTGATGGAGAGATGTACAAGTTTTTTTAGATCAAAGAAAGCAGACAATTAGGAAGAAAAAGACTATTGAAATTTTTTTTTGTTTCAAATTAATTACACAATTAAGACTACTCTAAATTTTCTAACAAAGAATAAAAATAACTTGTTAAATAAATTAAAAAAAAAAAACTCAAAACGGCGCCACTTCACTACGATTGAAATCGTCGGAATTAACGGTAGAATCGTCAGGCCAAGAATCTCTGAGAAGCTTCAAAAGCATCTGAGCTTTTCTCTTCGCTCTCTCCGTACAATCACTCTGCACCAATAGCAACAACTGCGTCACCAATCCCGCCGCCGCTGCCTCATCTCTACACCTTTCCTCCGCCGTACACAAAGCCAACAACGCTCCCGCCGCGTACTCCGTCGCTCTATCCGAAACTCTTAATATCGTCTTCACCATTAGCGGCACCGTCAAAGCATGCTCACCAAACGCCGCACATCCTTCCGGTAACCGGCAGAGAAGCTCCACCGTCGCTAAACCTCGCTCTGTATCACATCTATCGAAATCCGCAGCCAGACGGTCGATTAAAATTCCCGGAGCTCCGGCGGAGATCGCGAGATGTCTCGTTTGTTTCACGAGACAGAGAGCGAAAATCGCTTTGATTCCGATCTTCAAAGCTCGCCGCGATGAAATCGGATTCTTGAGAAGATCGAGAACGCCTTCGAAAATCGAATCGGATCCGGAAATTATCAATTTCAGATCCATCGATTTCGAACCGGTCAACACCATCTCAATCAACGCGGCGGCGTTAACCCTAATTTCAATCGAAGAATCAAACAACAACCGGGTCATAAACCCGACCCGACCCGGATCCGACGCGATGGCTTCACACTCCGTCTCCGTCATATGCAATAAAACCAAAAGAGCAAGCGACTCAGAAACAAGCTCCGACGACGACGACGTCGTTTCAACATCGGCAAACAAAATCCTCACCAAAATCTCTCTCGCGTTATGACCAGCGATCAAAACGCGATTCTTCTCACTATCTCTAGCTAATCCTCTCAAACGACGAATCGCGGCGGCGCGTGAACGAACAGAGACGTGAGTTCCGGTAACTGCGGAGGCTTGACTAAGGAGGGACCTAACGGAGATTGGATCCGCCGGTTGTTTCGGTGTAGGAATCCGTTCAACGCCGTTAGAGCGGTTAGCGACGCACCATTCTTGGATAAGACGGCGGAGAGTGTGGTTAGGGATGAGAGTGAAGTCGGAGAGAGCGACACGTGTGACAGGACAAGTGGTGTTGCCCATAGCGATCCATGAGTCGATGCTGGTTCGGTCGTAAGTTTGGCCGGTGGAGATGGTTACGGGATCGGACATTAGGTCAAGTGAGATTGGGCATCTGAAATGGTATGGTATTTGGATTCCGAGATCCAATGGCTCTAAATTCCCCGGCATTTTTTTTGTGGAACTGTTTTTTTTTTTTTG